CCCGCGAGGCACCCCTCGCCTTCACGGAACGGCGGCGACGCCGGCGACGGCGGCAGCGGCGGCGGTGGCGGCGGCGGCGGCGGCTCCGTTTTCTTAATTACAACTGCGATATTCTTTAGTTCGCGCGATGACGCCGCCGCGAAAAGATACCGGAATATTTCTCCAGCACCGATTATCCCTTCACGCCCCGATTACTCCCATTGACCTTTGTCACAGGGGTAGCGTAACGATCGAGATAGATCAATGGGCTATGTCGATTCGCGAGTGACGACAAACGGCAGAACCGCCACGGTTTCTAAGACGGAGGGGCGATAACAGCGTCTCGGCGATCGATTGTCGCGAGAATTAGAAGGAGAAAGATGACAGCGTCACGATGGACAAAATTGCGAATTTCCGAGTTCACGTATCTACCACCTTGAAGCGGAATTAGCGGAGGGATAGTGTCAGTGTCGAAAGAATTTCCTTAAATCCGATCAATGGCGATTATTATGACGTATGTCGGACGAAAATTCGTAAATCGATCTTCTTTTTGACACGAATCAACCTCGATCGAAAATACGATCTCGAGAAAATATCGCTGTCCTTCCCGCGATAACCGAGAAAGTCCTGTTTACTTCTTGGCCAATTAACTGACGGCTGATGACAAAGTGACGGCCTCGTGAACATAAATGCTGGAGACGATGATGATGGATGTGCTTTGTTTCACCTCATCGTCCTACCTCAACTTACTCGATACCGACGATGATACAAACGATGATGATGGCGCGAATGGTATCGCCCATCGTTCGCGTTAAGGTGAGTTCCCGTTGGCGTGAGATCTCAATTTTATTATGACGATCGGAAGATCTCGATTTTTTTATGGCGATCAGAAGAGATCGCGAGAGGATCGGTGAACCGGCGAAAGAGGTTTGGAAGGTTGCGGAATGCATGAGGAATTCGGTTACGGTAATTAGAGGAAACGCCGGCAGAGACTTTACGGCCGTTGAGCAAGCCATCGGCGTTCTCGAGCTTTTGAGCCTTTAAATTCGTGTTTGCAAACGCAGGATTACCCTCTTCCTCGAAGCGATGTGTGTATCGCGTGCCTACACCTCGATTGTCCGCCTGCTCGCTATCCTATGTTCCCTTCCTACATGCGTACATAGACAGGCGGCGGCAAATAGATCGCGCATTTACTCACACACGTCGAACGGCAAGTATCATATCCTATACAATCACTTTCCCATATTTGATGTTTTGCTACACGAAAGAGATGTGTGCGTGCGTGCGTGCGTGCGTGCGTGCGCGCGCGCGCGCGCGCGCGCATGTGGTGTGTGTGTGTGTGTGTGTGTGTGTGTGTGTGTGTGTGTGTGTGTGTGTGTGTGTGTGTGTGGTGTGTACGAGTTACCTGGTCATCCGATATTCGCGAGTACGTTCTCCGTCGCGAAAAACATCGTCGAGAATTTCGAAACAAAAATCTAACAGAGGTTAAAAAAAGCAGCGGAAGAAGCAATAGAATAGCGAATCTAATAAAATAAAAATCTAAGAATCATCATGAAGTATTATTAAAATATCATGAGAAACAATACATGAGAAAATAATTTTTTTTGGCTTATACTACGATCTAAATATGTTAAAATTGTTGATCGCAGGTTCCCTCAATGCATCAAATTTCATTTAGATTTTAACAAATGCGTGTAATTTTAAGAACGATATAAAGAGATACTTGCTCATCAAAAATCGTTATCAATAGAAATTTATTAATGTTTTATTTATTAATGCTTTTAATCATGTATCCCATATGGTAATAATGTACGAGTTTATCATTATATATTTGCATTTGTTTCTTAAGCAGCAACAATGATATCAGGCCGACTCTTCTGAATACAAAAGCATACGTCACTGCCGACGTCAAGGAAACGTTAAGGTCATCCTTTACCGCACGTCTTTTGCAAATTCTGACTAACAAGACATCACTGCAATCTAATGCTGTAAATCACTCTCCACTTGCGTTGTCTTTGGCCACGTGTGATAACCACATAATGTTCTAGTCAATAGAGTCGCTGTAGGTATCGCAACAATGCAATAAGCCTTCAAGTGTTAAACACCGAATAATAAAATTTAACTGACCAGTATAGTCACTCATTGTTGAGAAGTTCTTAAACTAGCATTTACTTAAATACAGTTCTTAAATACAGTTCGCACTTTGCGTTACTATTTACATTTGCGATTGTTATGAATACAATCATTTAATCCAATCCAATAATCAAGTGTTTGTTTTCCCGCTTTGAAATCCATAATATGAATTTTAATTATTTTATATATAAAATTTTTTAAAGTAATTTCTATCGATATATTATTAAAATTAAACTTAAATTAATTAAATCGTAACGTAATAATCTTCATTTGTGCGTCGTCGTTATAAAATTTATAATTATTTGTCTCAGAAAATGTAGATAGTTATGTCTATAACTATCACTTCAGTTTCGACGCGGAAATAATAAAAAAATACACGAAAAAATTAATCGTGTTACTTTAAAGCAGAACTGTTTAAAAGCAGAGAATGGATAGGCAAACGTTAATAAGCGCAAAGGTTAATGAGCGCCCAATTACACCCGCTGACCCGCGAGAAGGGTTTCTTGCTCGCCCCGTATCTCGAGTCTCGAGATACTCCTGAGGATGTTATTTAGCAAACAGAGCGCTAAAGCTTTGCCCCCCCGCTGGCACGTGCACGGCATATGCGCCTTTTGCGTATGACGTACGTGTTGAATATTGTCTTTGATGCGCGGCCCGTCGGAAGCCCTTCGTCTCCTCCTCGCGTCTCCTTTCTCTCACTCACCCTCCCGTCCTC